TCTCGAATATTCCACTCCACATCGGGGAGGGAACTCTCGGATCGCGCAAAGTCATTTGCGATAAAGCTCCTTAGTAAGCACCGCAATCGCATGTCTACTAAGCCTCTATAGAGGACAAGCTGATCAAAGGCTCCCCCTCTCTCACTGCAGAGGCAGGTTTCGCATTCACTAGGCTCCACTATACATCAATTTTTAGAACCGTTGAGCTTGCGAGTGCTTTGATAGAGCCAGAGGGTTGCGAAATCGACCAAAGAGATTCCGCGGGTTCCACACCACTCATTTGGGATGCCCGGCATGGCCATGGGTGATAGAACCATTGTTGGCGCAAGGAAATATCGACCCTCACGTGTCAGACAAGTGTGATAATCTATCACAACTCTTATGGGCCGCCAAGAATGGGCATGAGGGAGTATTAAAGCTACTACTGGCACGAGATGTTGAACCCAACAGAACAGACGAAAGCAGCCTAGCCCCCCTCTTATGGGCTACCCGGCGAGCACTAAAGTTGCTACTGGCTCAGGAAAATGTCGACCCGAGAGAGCGACAAGAGTAGCCAAGCCTCATTCCCGAGGGCTGCCCATGTCAGTAATGAGCAGGTATTGAGGTTACTATTTACTCGAGAAGATGTCAACCCCGGCAGACCAGATAATAATGGCCGAGCCCCACTTGGCTGTGCGGCCCTCTAGGGGCGCAAGAGAGCAGTGCAGCTACTGTTGACACGAGAGGATACCGGCATAGACATTGATAGAGTAACCCATTTCAACACGGCAGTACTCCCGGGAGGGCGTTTCGAGAGGGCATTCTAAAGTAGCAAGACTGCTCCGGACCTATAAAGCCACAACTGCCAGCTTGCTTTAGACCCCATAAGGCATAGCCTCTCCCCACATCCATGCACACGTTCACAGCTACCTTTCGTAACAACCGTAACAGCATTGACTTTATTTCCCCGCCCTCTCTTCCTCCTCCTTCCGGGTGCCCGGTTCCGATACATGGACGCCATTCCCCGAATCGACTACGCTTCACACTCCTCGTAGTGAACCTAATCGGAAACGTTTGGGCTTTGGGGGGAGCCCGGTCTAGAGAGGCTTTTCAGAACAACTGTTTTACCCTCCTAGCTATGGTGAAGATACTACCCTGGTTCAAAGTGTATTGCTGTTTCTGTGGAAGATGCACATAAATAAATCCACGAGATACCAAGGAGGATTGCACTTTTTTTTGTGGGGGGGGCTTTCCTAATTGTAATTCTACCCGTTTATCATAATTTTCTCACCCTAGGTTAATCGTTATGCTCAGTCTGAAGTATATCGGGGGCACCAGACTTTTTGTCCCCCCTTTTATTTTCTCTTTTCTTCACCCGTGGGGGAGCTGAGCCAACATGAACTCCAGTACCCACAACTAGCCAGGCCAGATTGCAGGCGTACCAATCCACCGTTCACGCTCTGATACCATGAATTATAAGCCAAGGAACCGGCGCCCGCTTTCTTAAAAATGGCCCGGAATTCATAACGAGTGATAGACGTGATCACAATGATAAATATCCAACTATTGGAGCTGACTCGCTGGACAGGCTGTAAGAAGATGCAAAGTTATGGAGTGAACGAATTCCCTATGGTTATGCCAGAAGATATCCCACCGTCACCTATTCTTCAAGATTAATGGTAATCGAGGGATACCAAATACAAATATAAAATAGATCTAATTTAGGCATACAAGGTACGTTCCTACAATTACTTAAACAAAGGTAATTCTCCTTAGATTCCCCAATAATAAGAATAAGCCCCAAGGGCCACCGCTGTAGCATTCAGTGCGCAACGGAGATCGGCCGAGGGCCAGTTCAAACAAAAAGACTAAAGACGAGTGACCACTGATGATGAAGATATAAAATTTCCACAACCAGGGGGATAGCAGCTTCAGAGGAGGTAGAATCCTCCCACCTACCAAAGCTGGCTTGTGCAAGAAGTATCAGATGGGGAGTACGGCTGGTGGGATAAGCAGAAGATTGATATACAATGACGACACGAGTGCCCGATAGCGATGAGAAATGGTTGGGGGAAAAGTAGAAACACCGGTAAACCAACAGAGATGGTATCAGAAAGGCCTATCATAACATAGTTGTCACCCCTTCTCCCTTCTCCCTATTTGATGTATGAGCAAGAATGGATTTGTGCACCAGAGAGCTCTAGAATCATCCCTACGGGTATGCGCAAATCGGAGAATTCGAAGGAGCTAAAAAATAAAAATAAAAAAACCTCACTTCATTTACATATTGTAATGAGGTTGATACTATTCATCATATTGTCCCATAGGGTTCTCCTTAGTTTGTGATTGTGGCCCCCCCCCCATAAATCTCTTTTTTCCCCCTTTTGGAACCGGGAAAACTCCTGTTATCAGCCACCAGACCCTCGTAGATAGCCATGAAGATATTTATAACACACGAGAGAACTGGGAGGGCAAACCCCCTCCCTGAGGTGAGGGGGCTCGCCGATAACTTCCCGGGGATCTGCGATACTCCTCTTCCTGAGCTGAGGACTGCGGTGATGACATTATAGAATACCATTAACGGGCCGGAGACATTTCTGCTTTACCATTTATAGAACCTAAATTGCGCATATACTTTGTCACACATCATGCGCAGTTTTCAATTGGATGGGGCGGCGTGTAAAATTCACTTCTGAGATGAGTTTAGCCAATGGATACCGAGGATCTGTTACGTGCGATATTGCGGTAGCTAGAAAACAAGTTTTCTATTATTAACGGTATCTTTCGGCGAAACATGGTAAGCTAGTTACTTACCCATGGAAGAGGGATGGCTATGATACGCTCGCTCCATAACTCGTAACCACGGTTACTACCGGCCTTTCATGATATGGTGGGGAGGTGTACACTGCAGAGAAGTTCATAGGGATGTGCCCATGTCTCCCTTCCCATCTTATGGATGACACCATCCACGCCGCCCATAGAGATGCATTCAGTCAAACCCCTCCCAGTCCGGTAAGGCGCGTGTATCGGGTTGTTGCGCAAACCCTAACTTATACGGCAACCCCATACCGTTGGCACATGAGCTCTATCAAATGCCACACGGAAAGCCACAGCAGGTCTAGGAGAGTGTTCCTAGCACACTTTATTCGGAGGGCATATGATATCCCCCTGTCACTCGTTTTTATGAAACTATTCCAAACTATTCCGCACCCCTTCAGCGTCGCCTGCGCCAACACTGTAGCCCGGCATCCACGAGTGTGCAGATAAGATGCGGTTGCGATAAGGTTGTGCCCATGAGATAAGAAAGCATGGTCCAGTTAGCGATAGAGAGAGAGAGCACCTGCCCCGCCAACGTATGTCGGACTTATTTCGCACGTTCGATTGCGAGTAGCATGTTGCTAAGTTATTCCAGACCACACCGCAAGGCTAAGAAAAATGCTTATAGTGAACCGTAAACATTGCGCTCCTCGGTATGATATCTGTTGGACGCGGTGCGCCTAGATTCCAACCACTCCTCCTTCCCGCCTCCACCACAACAGGGCTCCTGCTCAGCAAGATAATGCAGGAAACAAATGCCTGCCAGCTCGGCTCATAGCAATCGCAGAGACCACCAGCATTAGGTCGATATGGTATGTTGCAGCTGTGCTCAATTTCTTCCTTAGGTGCACCAAGATCTGCAAAGATTCCCCACTCCCGGTAGGAATCGCTGGGAGCTCCGAGAGGCGGTACACCACTCTATGTGCTGGCATCTGACACTTTTGTATGTAATGCATTGGAAAAGTCTAGGGCGAAAGGTCAATAAGTGTGCGAGGGAAGGCGCAAGAGTAGAACGGGAGTGAGCATGGTAGGCATCGTCGGGGATCACATGGGTATATATAGATTTCTTGTCCTTCTTCACAAGTGAGTTTCAAGGCCAGTAATGCCGCCTATGACCTTTGTGCGAGTTTTCATCGCAGGCTTCGATGTGCAGGAGCTATGCGCGAGGTTTGATGAAAATGGGGTAGTTGGGAGAGCGATGAGGGGACAGACGCCCACGCTCAGCAAGGCGCTGAAGGTGAAATTGTGGCGAAGCCTGAAAAGTCTAAGATACTATTTGGAGGGAACACTATATCCATCAGGCATTTGGATCCGGACTGCTACTTCCCATGATTGCTTCCGCGTGGATCTGCAATGGTCCGCAGATAAAACTTAACGAAGCGCTCACTCCATAGGGAACGTGCCGGCCAGGCAATACCGGGTGACAGATTGTGATTGTAGGAATACTCTTGACCCGAAAACATCCGTACCTTTCCGTAAAGCCCGGATTGGCCCTAAGGAGGCCCCGCCCAGTACATCATTTTCTGATCTTAGCTCTAATCCGACATTAACCAAAGCATACTGTAACTTACCCACCAATCGCATAAAACTAGGGGTGCCGGAAAAACCTCCTCAGCCCCACTTATTATATCCGCCTGCAAAAGGTCTCGCAATCAATAAATAAATAAACCGATAGAGAAAGGACTACACTTTTGCACTCGCACAGCAGTCCACATCCCAACAGTTTTCAGATGTCCGAGACCTTTTACACAGCACGGTACACAAGTAGTGTAGGAGTACTCGTACAACCCTTCCTCACGCGCCTTTAGATCGGCGCTTCCTGCATCTTCCCCTTGTAAAGGCGGTAGACTTCCCGCTGACTTCCACGTTTGGAAGGAAAAAGGCAAATTCAAAGGTTGGAGGGGAATGCGGGGGCCAGCCAGATCTCCGAATCGATAGGGGGCATGGGGACGATGCGGGAATAGCATATATTTTTGCCTCTTCATGACGGATAAACTATTTTTCCGCCGCACTTTTTGCTGGGGGGACTCGTACAGTACGAGTACTTGAGCACCCTCAGTTCCGGGTGGCTACAGGTGTTGATGGGCCTAATTGAGGGGCGCTAAGCGATTCTTGGCGCGGGATTGATTTTTTTTGTTGGGGTAACTGCCAGGTAAACAACATTCAGTTGAGCCTCAAGCCGGACCTCCTTTGGTAAAAGACCTGACCGTGCGTTGACGATTGAGAGGGATTGTTCCGCAGAGTACCGGTAAGGGAAACAAAGGTACCGGTACGCTCTCCCATCCATTTCGCCCTCGAAACAAGCTCTTATGCAGAACTATTTTTCCCCTTCTTCATCCAAGATACGCTGTCCCAACAACTGCGCATTAAGCAGCTACTTTACCTACCGCATGTAGACCATGAGTACCCATGCTGATACAAGTACAAGTAGGTTATCACGACACCGGCAAACCATCATGGTACCGGATCTCCCTTTTCTGCCCATCCCAAGATCAAGAGAATGTTTCCTGCTCCCTCCCGAGCCTTTTTGCGAGGGAAAAAGTAGGCATCCTCCCTAGAAATCTCTGTGTGTCGAGACTCCCAACAATATTCCATTGCGTAGCCCCAAAGGGTTGAGAGCTTGACCATGCAGGGGCTGACAGCGAGGTTCCCAATCAAAACGGAAGGAAGCCCCCGCGCACCATTTGCAGGGAAAATGGAGAAGAACGCTGGCAGCTTGTACAGTACATATCCTCCCTCACTCTAGTTCTTCCTCCTCCTCTTCTTCCTGTCCTCCTTCCAGATTACACTTTTTCCTTCACTGAGTCTCGACCAACTGACACGATGCAAGCCGCCGTGGAATCATTCATCCCGTCACTAAAGGTAGCGTTTCCTCCAAGTTCATGGCTTGCACTACTGCCATCCCCGTCTACCGCTTCCCCGACAATTCCACCCTCGGCATCAAAGTACCCTTTCACCATCTCCGAATCCCTCTACACCGCCTTCCTCGACCCCCGGGTACCATTATCGATTGCAGCGGCTTATGCCGCCGCCGTGCACCTTCTCAATTCCCGGTGCAACGGAAGACCATACTACATTGCCACGACACGGATATTCAAGGTGTTTGTACTGCTTCACAATCTTTTCCTAGCTGTTTACTCGTTGTGGACATTCATTGGGATGGCTGGTGCCATTCACCGATCAATTGTGACTTCTAGGGGAGTTCCGGGAGTGGTTGAGTCGTTGTGTAAGATCAGACCCGAGACTAGATTCGAAGGTGTGGAGATTAAAGAAATGGAAGGGGGCGTCGGGCTCTGGGAAGAAGGATTGGCATTTTACGGATGGCTCTTCTACTTGAGCAAGTTTTACGAGGTCCTGGATACTGCCATCATCATCGCGAAGGGAAAGAAGAGCAGTCTTTTGCAGACTTATCACCATGCTGGTGCAATGATCTGCATGTGGGCCGGAATAAGGTGTGTCGATATCCCCCCCCCCCCCCCTGAAGCCACTATCTCTGGATCCTGAGGCTAATTGAGGAGTCCATAGATTCATGTCGCCACCTATCTGGGTCTTCTGCATCTTCAACTCACTGATCCATACCCTCATGTACTTCTACTACACCCTGTCCACCGTCCGCGTTCCCGTCCCGAATGCCCTCAAGCGCAGCCTTACTTCCCTCCAAATCACCCAATTTGTTGTTGGCGGCTCACTCGCCGCTCTACACCTCTTTGTCTACTTCACTCCTACCACTTACCTGCCCGGTTCCCTAACTGAGGTCGCTCCATCCTCCTCGGCCTCCGCTTCCATTTCCAACCATGGAATGCCGGTGGATGTCACGGCGTCCGGAATGGTTCACTGTCTGTCGAACCCTGGAGAAGTGTGGGCCGTTGTTGCCAACGTCGTTTACCTCACACCGTTGACGTAAGCCTATCCCCATCCTCCAACCAGCCGACAGGATCGACAACTAACAGCCAAATAGTTACCTTTTCGTCAGCTTCTTTGTTGAATCCTACACCAAAGGCGGAAAGACCAGAAGAGCTGCGAAGGCTACTGCTTTCGCCGAGAAGTCGACTTGATGAAACACTCCAAAAACCGCTGATACGCCCGCACGAACTAAAACCGGTGATAAAATAAAAACAAAATTTAACGGTTGGACGAATCTAGATGGACACGCAACGGATAACGGTAGGCTTTTATGTGTTATATGGGCAATGGTGGGGAAAGTAACCCCCTGCCCCGCGCAATTTTTGCGCAGGGTGAAGAACTGTATATAATTATCCTTTCTCTTTTCCCTTCATCACATCATTCTTCCAGTATGCCGAGGGGAAGCACGGCGGGACCATAGATTTCCTCCTGTACGGTGTGCAGCACGAGTAGGAATTGCCAAAAGTGCAATAGAAGAGGGGACACGGTGGTGGCTGTACGAGTACAGTACGGTACTGTACTCGAGTACCCGAGTACCGCACCATCCCCCATAGAAAAAACGCGCGCTAGGTCCGGACAGTGAAGTGCCCACACAAGTGACACAACCGCTTCAAGTATGATACGGTATTACAGTATAGTATGGCGTAGGGCATCCCTTGAATATTCGCACGACGGAATCAAGCGATCCCTCCGGGGCTTAGAGATACTCATACCTGCAAGATTAGGCGTGCGAAACCTTGATGGCCGAAGCATCAAGATATTCCGGTAAACCCCCTCCCCCCGAAATTGGCGGTCGGCCATCTGCCGTGTCGACATGGCAAGAATCCTCATACCGGGACTCCCGGGTCGATTAATAGCCCGGACACTCTCAAAACAGTGGTGAGCCTAAGCTGTCGACAAAACAAGCGAATCCATCAGAAATGTGAGATGATCAGCCCGCGGTGACTTAATTTACACCGGAACCTGTTTCTCAGATGTCTGAGGCCTCTCGAGAGGGGTGGGCTCCGTTGCCAAAGTCCCTCTTTCGGTTGTTCATTTGCTGAATCACAGCTTGGTGGTTGACGCCTGAGGTTTCAAGATTCGGAGACCCGAACTTCTCCCAGATCCTCCCCCGTTACTATTATTACCGACGAGAAATGAAATGCTAGCGCGCAGTCACTGCAGTCAAGCATCCTCACGATAAGATACCCGTACTAAATCACCTTAGTGAGAAAGAATCCCAGCTGCAGGAGACGAGGGAACCCCGTCCCTCCGGCCCATAGTGGGAGCCGACGGATAGGATGTTTTATTTTTAAAAGCATACACGAAATTCAAGACATTTTCCCTTCCCACCGGATAGCACATTTATCCCACCTCTAGTACGGGGAACCGCTCAATTGAAAATGTGTGCAAGCGCTGCACTGTACTCGGGCGCACAAAGAAGCCAACAGCGGGTGCTCAAATCGTGGAAGGAGTTTGGACCACGGCACCGTGGGGTACAAGTACAGTACGAATCGGTTGCCAATCAAAGGTATCGAGCGTAGTGAAAGTTATTCTGCCCGTCATGGATCTCCTGCAGTGAAGTCCAAAGATGCAGTCACGGTAACGAACCCGGCGGAAGTGAAATCTCGACAAGGTTGTCCGCATTTCGCTACCAGGGCCACTGCAACAACCAGCATGGCTTAGACGATCTTCTTGACTGCGATTTCGTCCCACCGCCCGCAGCTGGAGAAAGCAAGAGCAACCTCTTGCACTACCGTACCTCCACCTTCTTGCCATGTACAGTACTGTAAGACAATATCATTCCGATCCCTGTTCCCAGGGTGGGTTCGGGGCTGGAGAATGAGTTGAGCTACTTGTTCACGCGGGGCGTGTGTTCCCCATCAGCTACCGTATGATAGTGTACGGTACCGTAATCCAGTACCAAGTACTCGTACAGCGCCTCATCCCAGGAGAACTGCCATGCTCGAACACAGTGTGATACTGGTATCATACAAGTACCGGTACCATACCGGTATTCAATTACTCGAGTACTGACCCCACACTAGGGACTGATGACCGCGCCACGCTCCTCTGGCGCAAGACTACACCATGGCGCCCCTTGGTGCATTGGGCTAAGCCTCGCTGCTGTCTCCCCTCCATGGTTAACTTATGGGCTGAAACATTGCCGGTGCCCCCAGCAGGAAGCACTGGGATAGTAGTCTAACTGAGGGAGCCCACTTCTCTCATACAGCACACACCATCCTTCCTCCCTATAAAGACTTCGCCTCGGGGACCCGGCTTGTGGTTTGGGCTCCTCTGGAGGTTTCCACTTGCTCTGATGCACTACCCCACTTACTGGTGCCCGTCCCTCTCCCTTTTCCTCTACTAGTTACCGGGATTGGCCCGAAGCGCATACCGTACACCATCTACTACTAACATTACTTCCATTAACTACCCTACGCCCCCAAATCTACCATTGCCATACATCGACAGAGACCCGGAATGGGGGGCGTGATACAGTTTCTACGGAGGTCTAAGCAGGAAATCCGGCGGAGCGTCAATTACTACACTTCGAGAGAAATCATCATACCCTGTCGGCGTTGTGAGCGATGCGTCCCCATAAAGGTTATCGGATTGTTGCTTGAACCGGACAAAGCGACCGAATTTAAATGCAGGCATTGCAGCCAGGTGGTTGGCTTCACCGTGAGACGTCCGCCAACGCAAACATCTTCACTGCCGCAGAACGATGACCCAGCGGCTCCATTTGAATCGGGTTCAAGCGTACGGGCCATATACAATGACCCCGTTTCTATCGGTAGTGTATGGCATCCCGTTTTGTTGGTAGCCCCGGATTGTATACGCTACTGACCCGTCACAGCAAATATATATCGCGGAGACTGGCCACGCGGCCAACAGGGACTCGGAGTCCAACAGCGAAGTAAGGGATGAGCCAGAAAACCTATCCCCCTCCCGAAACCCTACACCTTCCAGCCCGAAAGGCAAGCAAAAGGCCCCGGCAAGAAAGGCAAGCGTGTCCCTCTCTGAGCGTCGATCAACATTCCGTAGCACGTCCAGTAGAGAGCTTCCCGATCGAAGCTCAAGCGAATACTTTGGTGAGGATGGCTCCATGGACGGGAACCCGCGGAGTCGTCGAAGCTCCGTGAGTTTGCCGAGGCGGCCCTCACCCACCCTCCGCCTCCACGACACCATGGGCTTTGATAGTATGGCCGATAAGCCAATCCGGCGGAACTCTTGGAACTCTTCAAAGCATTCCATCGCTGGGCCCAGTCACCGCTCGTATTCCCCGCCCCCGCCAATTCCTCCCATACCCGGGTCAACAACTCCCACTTCCGGTACTATTTCAAGGCGGAGTACCTTGAATCGGAGGTCAGAGGACTACATAATGGATCCTTCAGCGAGTCTAAGACTTAGCACCGAATCTAACAGCAGTCAAGACTGGCAGAATCTACAAACACACCGCTCGTCGCCGGATCCCGAGTTCGACCAAAGACGTGAGCTTCCCGTTGCAGTTGATCGAAATGTGTCCGGGAAACGACGTTCAGGGTCTCAACGAAGTCTTCACAGAGCCGCTGTCAATAGGAGACAAAGCATTCGTCTTGTGAGTCAAACGTAGCCCTCAACCATGCTCCAAAGCTAACTCTACAGGAAAACGAGGACGAATATGAAGCCATTTCTTCCGGCATCAAGAGACGTGGCAGCATAAGCTCCGATTTCGAAGTCGAACCATCCGACGAACAAGTCCGGCATGCAACGCAGATTTGGAGCGCGCCCAGAAAATACGAAAATGCGGATGTCCAGTGGGCCCGTGATATCCTCAGAAGACACAAGAGTTGGAGAACCATGAACAGCAAATACCCTAACCCCCTCCAAACAAATAGGGGGAATGCTGAACAATCTCAAATACGACCGGACACCGACGAAGGATTTGGTTCCAGCACAAACCATCATCCTCAGCAGCCGCATCCATTGACCATACCGGTGTTTTCAGGTTCTACCCCAGGGTTTACAGGAACCAATATTCCTACCCCTGTGGAAGAGGAGCCGGATTCTGTCGGGTTCAGGTATGAAACAGCTGCCAACAGATCTTCACAGGAGCCCAGAGAGCGGCCTGGAGATGATCCAGGGCCTTCGGAGTTCTCATTCGCCGGCACTCCCCATGCCGATAACATCCAAGCGGGACCTAATAATTTCGGGAGTTTGGCTCCTCCTGATGACGGCGATGCACCTAATCAAGAAGCTATCCCGTCGGAAGTGCCTAGACCCCAGCTAAACCCTCGCTACGCAGCCCGAAGGTTGAGGCGACGCTGCAGAAAGGCGCTGAAGGCCATTGCGCGCAAAATATCTTCGTTCCGCCGGATTCCAAACCGCTCAGCGGCCCAGACGCCCACGGCTGCAGCAACCGCCACTAGCTATCCTCAGCATGGTTCCAGTATGGGCCCAAGGAATCCGGTGGTTCCGGCAGTTCCGGAGAACTCGAGGCCCACATCCAGCAACCAAGACTTGGAGATGCACGAAGCGCCGTCTGATGGTGCTGTTGAAGCAGAAGCCAGCACGCAGTTCTACTCAGGCGAAATCACTCAGGATCCTTCTGAGGAAGAGGTTAGCCAAGTTGCTAGCGATATAGCCCTTACCATCAACGGCATGGTCGCCCCGTTAATACAAATGGAATTTGAAGCAACACCTCTACAGCTAGGGTTCGCTGCCCGGCAAGTATCAATGTAAAGCATAAGCTATGTTCTATGTTTCTCCTTTGTCCTTTGTCCCTTTCTTTCCCTTTTCGTTCCTGCTATTCGATCACGGAGGGTCTTTTCTTTTACATCTCATGTTACACGACAGATATTTAAGATTTAGGCTCCATGTTTTACAAAGAGAGGGAACGTACGGGCATCCTCGCCTTTGACCTGTTTGCGCTGTTACTTGGCGGTTGTTGGTAGGATTAATGTTTGGTGTCAAAAGGGATTTTCCTTATCATACATATCTTAGGGATAGTTATATAACCTGTCTAATCCTGCTGGTGTACGCATTGGAAATGTATAAGTATTCCATGCACTTAACTTGTAATCTTAATAAAAAGAACAAGATGTTTCATTGGGAAGATGGCTGTCCGTTGTACCGTATGATACCTGTACCACCGAATTTTTCACAATTTGTCATGCTCATCTTGACCAAATCCGCGCGCTCTGCATTGCTGTTATACAGCACTCGTACTTGGCGGTATCCTTAAGATTCAGCCTCCCCCCCCCTCCCCCCCGCTCAATTGAGCCTTGGACTCTCGGTGACTGTAAAATTGAGTTGGGCGTCAAATGACCAAAACCATCGACCGCAAGCTCTAGGCAGCAGCCAGGAGGGAAAAAAATTCTGCACCGGGACGAGATCGCACAAGGCCAACTTGGGTCGAACGCCGTCGTCCGCCGACCGTTAGAACATGCACTGCGTTGGACAAGTCCTGGCAGGTATCATTCCAACCCGGCTTGCACAGCACGAGTACGGTATCATAGGCAGGCGTCACCCCATCAGCTCATAGGGCGGTACAGTCTGGTATAGACCGGTCCCGTGATATGAATGCCTTGTACGAGTAGTTAAGTTGTAACGGGAGGGCAACGGTAGCGATACGGCACTTCTACTCCATGTCTTATCATAACTTCAATACCGGTACTGTACTCGAGTGCTTGAGGAGTGCCCACGATACGGTAACGTAACCCACCTGACACAAAGGATCCGCCGATTCCCCCTACAACACTCACCACACCAATCCGCTAGAGCCACAACGCTGCGACCCAGGTGCTCTCACCCTCCAAGGCCGTTGTGAAAAAATTTTCCTCGCCCCCCCCCCCCACCCTTCCTCTGGAAACAGTACGGTACTCGAGTACAAAGGTATTATGCGTGTTTTTTTCTGTTTTTGTTCCGGCGGTTCATATCATCCGCTTCCTCCCCTTCTCTTCACCCCCCCACAGCACACTCGTCACCAGGCAACAAAAGTAACCCAAACATACGGTAGGGATTGGATAAAATGCATGGCAAACCGTCCGCCATAATAGTGTACAAAAATTCAGGGTCCAATGTTCGGGCACTACAGTAGTGCACTGGCTTAAAACCCCCGCGAAAAATCCACTAACTCACCGCACAGATATCACCCCGTCAATCGGTCTGTCCGGGATGTGCCTTTAAGTTTGACAAGTTAACGGATTACGAATACCGGTTAGGGAGATCCAACAGGTCCTTGAAGGCTGATCTTATTGTGTCGGAGGACGCTAGTCCTTTTCCGTTGGGGGGGGGGGGGTGGGCGCTTCGGCTTCCCGGCTCGGAGATCTAATCTCACAAGGCTTACCGGTGTCATGCGGTACCTGTATCTCAAAAGATGCGGTACGGTAGACTTTGGTGAAAGAAAAAAAAAATCCCCTTATCTGATTATCACGCTGTCAGAGCCCACGATGGGTTTAGCCCGGTATGTTAAAATGAATAGCGGAGAAAAGGTTAACCATCCGGTGGTGGAAAATCCAGTACTTGTACGGTGCTGTGTTGGGAAAACGTCAACCCTTCTCTGACTCCTCGAAGCCGGAGATTACAGGGCCTCCAGAGAAAATTATGAGTTATGGTGAGTTTGTGAGAGGTTTTATTCTTAACGGTATGGTACTCGTATTATGCTAGATTTATTTTAGGCCTTCACCCGAGTTAGTTATAAGTATCATACCAACCTAACTTGCAGGGCTTGTGGGCGCGTGAAGCAGGTAAGGGTTTGTTGTGGTGTATCATACAGTATCATATACTCGGAATTACAGTAATTACAATACCGAATCGGTATATCTCTCCCATACCAAGCAACTGGGGCCTTTGTCCAGGTGCCGGATGATGCCATGAGGGAAAAAGCTTTCCATGTCTCACCACTCTAAGAGCGTCGAAGAAGAAAAGAAAGAAAAACATGACATCTTCGATCTATCTTGGTGCAATTGTAGCAAATTACTTTCTAGACGTCTCCCACTGTACGTACTCGTGCATGTATGCTATTTCCGCTAGTAAGCGGTTGGCCAACGACAGCTCGAAAAAAAAAAGCCCCCAGATTCTTGAGCTTTTTTTTTGGCCCCTCCTCCCGCGTCACGAAACGACCCCTACGAGTAAAAGCGTAAGAAGCCTTGGCGCCAAGGGTGCCGGGATATCTCTGAAATCTCCGAGCAGCATTTCCCACACACCGGTACGGTAACTGTACCGTACAGGAACCACCTATGATATGAGCATCCGCCTAGTACCGAGCCGTTACTTACGGGATCGAAAAAAATCAAAAATTGCTGACCGTAAGCGTCTGTAAATCCCGAGGCTCTCCTCCTCTTTCCTTCTCTACCCGGGTACGGGGACGGGGGTACGGCGCGGCACTCACCGTACAGTAGCTCTTTCTTTTGTTTTTCCGTCCCGAATGTGAGTGAGAGTGGGGGAAGGGGGGGGGCGAGGGGAGGGTCCTAGCGTGAGGTACGCGTCCAGCACGGTACCCGTACAGTTACCGTAACGTTTACTGCCGGTAGACTATCGGTAATTTGTTGTTGGAAGAATGGTTTGCCCGGTCGGCCACGCTCGCCCTGAACGACCGGGGGCCCGGATGGAACCGGTTTTCTTTTTCTTTTTCCCTTTGTTTTTGTCCTTTTTTTTTCAGCTGCTGAGATTTGATCGGGTTGGTTTTTTCGTCCTCTTTTTTTAATTTTTTTACTCTTTTTCATCATCTAATGTGGGTAGTTTCGGGGATTACAGTACGAGTACTCGAGTACGGGAAAATACCGGTAGCCTTTCCGGGTGCTGATATGGGTTGGGGGGAGGGGAGGGGGCGATGATGGGAATTGGGCAAGGCGGTTGGTGAGGCGAACGTCTCGTTTCGATGGAAGTTACCCTTTCGGTGTCATTGTTTGTTCTAGGCAAGAGGAACCCGGAAACTGGGGGGTAAGTTATGTTTTGTGTTGGTCCTCAGTTATGCGCAGGCCTTTGCCATACCGGTGTACGAGTACTCGAACTTGTAAGTTACCTACCATTCAGTGTTTGAAAACGAGACAGGGGTTCTTTCTTTCGCTGGCTGTGTGGGCGCATTGCGATAACCGTATTCTCAGATACTCAAATGTCAGATATCGTACAAGCAACCCCCCGAAATTTGCTTCCGGCCACTCCTCATCTGGGACGAGCATAAGCGGCAAAGCAACACATTCCCTAAAGCTCTAGAGATGAGGGCCGCCACCTTGATTAGCTGGCTGGATTCAGTAGAGCGCCCGGGGGTGTCATTTCTTTTTGAGAGCGATATGGATATGGGGAAAGTTCACGAATGTCTCTGGAGCTCTTAGTGCGCTCCAGACTACCGGGAAGCCAGTACCTACTGGTGGCTTGATTTGAGCACTAGACTAATCCTCAACTCCACTACCGGTATACATATTCAGTAAGCCCTCGAGGTGTTCTGCATCCCCGCGCTTTCGGCTGGACCCTGATAACCTTACATACCGATCAGCGTTCTAAAAACTCGAGCATACGGCGTCTTGGGAATCCAATAGGTTGTTCCCAACGCGCGTGCAGGGTCTACCATGGTTATTCCAGTCGATGCAAGACAGAAAAATTTCTCGGCCGACAAGCTTCTCCGAGTGATGTTCTATGATCACGTCAACATCTTTACCCGAATACGGTACCATACGGGTAATAATAGGCCACTACGCCGGACTCGTATACCAGCGTAACCGAGTGCGATACAATGCCTCTGAGCCATCCGCAGTGTCACTGCGATACATACACTCAGGATTGAACTCAAGGGTATCCGAACTTGGCAGCGCGGGGCCCCAACAGCTATGTCCTATCATAGTTATTTACGGCAATTCGCTCCTACATCCCCTGAACAAGCTCCCCCTCCTGCCATCCGGAGCATACCTAGCATCCTTGTAACTGGCCTGCCACCCAAGCCATAATCTGCCCTCGGCCGAGATCATTGAGGAAATACTCAAGACAGCCTTACAATTACAGAGTTATCTCCAAATATGCATTCCGAGGCGTCGAATCCCTACTTGACCCGTAATGGCCCCCAAAGGAGCCCAATTAGCCAGAATTTTAGAATGCAGCATAGACCTCGAATCCCCACCCAGCAAGGGCCACGGGCTACGATGGGCACGGCACGGCAGCACAAGATTTGTACAGTTGGTTCTCAGGTGGCCGAGCGCCAACACCGGTGTGCAGGGTGCAGCTCCTAGGACATGGTTTGTCGCCTCTCAATAGGGTTGCGAGACGGTAGTGTCGCTTCTCCCTCCCTAGTGAGCTGGTGGTCTGTATTCTCCTCATACACTGGGGATGCAGGATTATCCTTTAACTTGACACCAACTCGTGAGTCCAACGTCCTAATCAAGCCTATGGTTCGATAGGGGTTTAGCCAAAAAGAATCTCCCGAAATTCAGAAGGGTAAGGGGGGAGCTTTCCAGCTTCTTTCTCACTCACCCGACAAGGGTCGCAATTGAATACTCAAACCGAAGCCACCCGGTTTGACTCCAGTCGCCGGGTATCACCTATTATCACTCGTTGGAACCCCCCCGGTGCGTCCCGTGAAATTTCGGCGTAAAATTCCTGATGACTCGGCGCGCCGTGATTTAAGGCATTAACCGTGCGGTAATCCCCCACGATTTCTTATTGTGCTATTCGGCACCGTATTCTACAATTGGCACCTTTTACCCACTTTCCGACGATCAAACCCCAACCCCCGCTGCGGACGTCCGGAAACAATGTCTCACTTTCCTTTTCACCCCCCCCCCCCCAGCCCCTTGACATGCGCGTGCAGCCAACAGCAGCACAGACCTCCCCCACGCCAACTCATACGTACTGTACTCTCGCAACATTGCAGAGAATCTCGGGCCCATATCGGTGATTTTTCCCACCCCCGAATCACATGTGGATCCTACCGTGCGCCCAAATACCGGTGCCATTGCCCTGGGTCGAGCTTGCTTTTGTTGTGGTACAACTTTGGGACGTTTTTTTACCACCCCCTGCCATCCGATCAGTGGGAGTACCGGTATCATACAAGTAAAGGGGGGGCATCGGGACCGGGGCTGAGGGTTCGGGGGAGGGGGGGACCAGGGAGACAAGGCCCGGA